GTTTATTATTCACTGGATACAGAGAATCATTCATTCATGAAAATCAGGGAATCAAAACTGGCAAAATCGGTATGCATACAGAGCAGCAGCAGAGAAAGAAATTTTGAATGAAGTTATAACTTGGCATCAACGTGAATTGCAACAAATGGATCTTCATCACTGTTACTAATCTGGAAATTAGCCTTGCCATCCGAGGAAACATACACCTGCTTTCCAGTACACCCACTGCCTTCCTTTTGTCCAGAAATAACGTCGCAGTAGGTACTGGCAGGCAGCCCCGTTTGCAAATCGACATTCATATACCTACGTGAAAAGTACACTGCTTAAAGCGTGGCTTTCAAAAGAGGTATTTCAAAGTAGGCAAAGGACTGCTGAGCCCGATGCTATTCCGCTACTTGCGAGGGTGACGCAGCGCAAGGGATTTCTCGGTCTCAGGGCTTTTTTTCCGAGCTCCCTTTTTAGCCCCTCACAACTAGAATGCAACCGCGTGAATCTAGCTCAGGCTGTAGCGGTTGGTCCCGCTGGCGGGAAAGGACAGGAGAAAATCAAAGCCTACAGACAGCTCCTACAACAGGATGCATGCGGTTAAACAGAAGTAACCCCCTAACTGGGATCATTCAAACCATTACGGTTGCATTGGCACGACTAGATTGGCTAGGGCCAGATGAGGGAAGGGATACACTACCTTCTCCACCCGTAATCACCAAAATGTAAGTGGCTAATGCTTAAATCCCCGGCCATTACCCTGCCCACTGCCTCAGTTTCTCTACTGTGAACTCACACGTAGCTGTCCAGAAATCACTCACCAATCGTCATTATTAAAGACAATGAAGCCTCTGTTGCCGCGACCAAAAGCTACTTGATTGCTCCCGTTGTCCCACCAGTTTGAGAAAGGCTGACCGTCTACCACATTACGGAAGACAACCATGTTCCTGAAAATGCAAGGAAGGGCTGTCGTTGTAGTTGCAGGACTTCCACGGCCACGAGGCGTGTGACCCAAGAGTCGCTGCTTTTCCTACGCTTTCCTCCCACCTTATTTGTCGCCAGCGATGTTCACAGACCCAGTCGTTGCCGCACGTAGAGTCTGCATTGATTGTCACGGACTTCATCGACCCATCCGAGTTACTCGGCGGTCCAACCCAGTTGTTGACATCCTTTAAACGAAAAAAGACTTTTTGAAGGGCTTACTGGCAAACGCACAGAGAGTATCCAGAGAGAGAAGTTAAATGCGGCTTCCAACGTCCATCTGGCAGATCCGGCACGGGACAGA